CTTGAACTCAGGAGGCGGAGATTGCAGTGAGCCGAGATTGCGCCACTGCACTCCAGCCTGGGTGACAGAGCAAGACTCTGTCTCCAAAAATAAAAACAAAAAATAAAAAAATTAAAACCCAACAACTTTATTGTGTGTCATACTCACCAAGGGCTCGGATGTTTGCTAACTGTACGTTCTCCCCAAATAGCCTGGGAGATCTCCTAGGACCTCCCTTTTTGGACAGGAGAGTGACTTTGGCTGGTGGTTCTTATCTGTCTTCGCCCTGGCCTGCCTTCAGCTGTTGCAGGCACCTATTTGGAAGCCAACCTCACCTTTCACCAGGGTGTGCTTGTCAGTGGGAGAAGATCGCGCCAGGACCCGAAGCTTAGGCCAGATCTTGTCCAGCTTTTCTTGCTCTACCTGCCAACACCAGACCACACCTGGATCAGTCAAACTCAGAAAAGCTATCCAGGAAAGTCTTACTTCTCCATATACTTGGAGCCACTGGGAGATTGGGTACGCCACAGTCCCACATGACAGTGTTATTCTGGCTTCAGCAGAGATTAAACAGCCAACCAGTCTCCAAGGGTAGATTCATGGATGATGACCATTCAGGCCCTGCTTTTTTTCTTTTTCCTCCCAAGTCCCTACCTGGGAGCCAATCCCCCATTTCCCAGACCTTTAACGGGAGGTGGGCCAGGGTTGGCTGTTGGCTCGGGTGGGTAAAGTGGTGCTTCAGAGGTCTTAGGTATGATTTCTATGTAGCTCAGGAAGCTTGGATCTGTGCCACTGCCAGACCACATTCTCCTTTAGCCACTGTCAGCCAAAGGGCAGGGACACAGGAGGGGTGGGCTGGGGGGAAGTCAGTAAAAAAAACTGAAAAAGCAGAAAGACATGAAAAATTAGTGACACTGTCTCAAAAGATAGCTAGTGAGCTCACTAGCTTCATTCACAAGCAACTCCCATTTTTTTGTTTTTGAGACGGAGTTTCGCTCTGTTGCCCAGGCTGGAGTACAGTGGCGCGATCTCGGCTCACTGCACCCTCCGCCTCCCAGGTTCAAGCTTGTCTCAGCCTCCCCAGTAGCTAGGACTACAGGTGCATGCCACCAAGCCGAGCTAATTTTTGTATTTTTAGTAGAGACAGAGTTTCACCATGTTGGCCAGGATGGTCTTGATCTCTTGACCTTGTGATCCACCCGCCTCGGCCTCCCAAAGTGCTGGGATTACAGGCATAAGCCACCGTGCCCGGCCAGCAACTCCCAATGTTACCATATGAGCAGCTTTGGTACAAGGAGATGTTTCACTATAAATAGCTTTCACTTTAGAAAACACCCACTTTCCCGCACATGACCCAGATGTCTTATGCTGGAACCCGCCTTTTCCTCGTCAGGGGAGGTCCTGGATCCCCCTACCCAGGACCCACCTCGCCTTTCTCGTTGCGGATGAGCCGGTTGAATTCTTTGCCTTCTAAGCACAGGAAGTCATCCCCAGGTGTCAGAATGCCACATTTGGTGGCAATGGCCCGGGCTGTGTTGATGTTGTCACCTGTCACCATTCTGACAGTAATGCCAGCTTGTTTGCATTTGGCAATAGCATCTGGCACCTTCAGAGAGTGAAGAAAGGGGAAAGGTGCAGATGAGGGTGGTGACCCTGGTAAACTGTCCCTGTACGTCTGTCCCTTTGTGGCAGACAGGAGAGAGGCACCCTAGAAGTGGTGCCATGTGGCATGGGCTAGGTCTGGTCATGTTGATATTGTTAGGTGCCACCTCACTTCTGTCCTACCTACAGCAGTCACATTTGAATTTGCCCTATTGCACCACGAGTTGAAGGGGAAATTTGCTTTGGGAGCCAGGTGTAAAAACTTGCTCTCCACTCACAATCGAGACTCCTTGGCAGGGCATGGATGGCATTTTGCGATTTGGCCACTGCTTTCTTTTCTAGCAGAAGCTTCTGCCACTCTCCACCCACCTGGCCCATGCTCCAACCATATCAGCTCTTTGTAATTTCCCACATGCATGATACCCTCTCATGCCTCTGGGCCTTGACAATTTTATAGTCCATCTGTCTATGCTTCTTAGAAGCAGAGATTTTCAATCCCCTAGTGTCTAGAATAGTTATCAGCACACAGCAGTTACTCAAAAAGAATGTGTTGATTGAAAGGAGGGAGCTAAAGACAAAGTTGGTGTCCTGATTAAATCAATCTCCTGACAATACTTAAGTGTCAAATAATGAGCCCAATAAGCCCTTTGCTTCTGAACACTCAGACAGCAATAACCCTAGGAATGCCACATTCTATCAAACTGGTACTCCACAGCAGTCCTGTGAAGCAGGAAGCACAGAAACATCTATCCCTGTAAGTGAGAAGCAGTTAGGTTACCTGCCTGGGGTCACAACTAGAAAGGGAACTAGTACTCCACTTCCTGAGACTCTCACCTCTGGGCGCACAGGGTCCTCAATGCCCACCACTGCGATACAGGTCAGTTCAGTGAGGATCTCATTCTCATTGTCCCAAGAGGGCTCTGCGTCATTGAAATCCCGGTAAGCTATGCAGATAGTCCGGAGTCCATCACAGGCCATGGGCTCGATAACAGTGCGTATCATATCATCTCTGTCTTTATTCCTGAATGGCACTGCTTCCCCTTTCTGGTCCAGGATTCGATTACACCTGGGGAGGTGCACAGTAAGAACACGGTGTCTCCCTTCCCACTCAATACGTTTCTACAATCATTGACAGACATTTTGGCCACTCTGTATTATTCCTAAAGACATTGCTCCAAGCGTGGCCAAACATTTCCTTCGTCCATCACCCAGCGGAGTCCCTCTTTCCAAGGTGGGTGGGCTGTGGATGGAGTAAGGTCTAGGTAGGTAGAGAGTAGGATTCTCCCATGTCATCTATTCTTACCCATATGTGAATGCAATGCAAGTCATTTGTGAATCCCCTGCTCTTTTGAACTTCTTGAAGGCAGAGAGACTTTTTCAATCCGAGTATTCAGAATAGTGCTCACTGTGTGGTGGTGGTTTAGGGGGACGTTTCCTATACAAGAATGTGCTGATTAAAAGAAGGTGGCTAAAGCCAAGTTGGGGCACTGGTTAATTCAGCCCTACTGGCCCTATACCTAAGTAGGGTCAACTTTTGATGATCTATGGGTAATCTATTAATAGTCACTTTTTTTTTTGTGAGACAGAGTCTCACTCTGTCACCCAGGCTGGAGTGCAGTGGTGCGATCTTGGCTCACTGCACCCTCCGCCTTCTGGGTTCAAGCGATTCTCCTGCCTCAGCCTCCTGAGTAGCTGGGATTACAGCGCGTACCACTATGCCTGGCTAATTTTTGTATTTGTTTTTAGTAGAGATAGGGTTTCACCATGTTGGTCGGGCTGGTTTCGAACTCCTGACCTCATGATCCGCCTGCCTCGGCCTCCCAAAGTGCTGGGATTACAGGCGTGAGCCACTGCGCCTGGCCGAATAGTCACTTTTAAAGTTACATAAATTCCCTGTAATCAGAAATGGGAATGGGAAGGAAAGAGAAGGAAAAGAGAACACAGAACAAACATTTCTACTACTTGTTATGTACAAGGCATTTTACATACATTGAATCATTTAGTTACAGTGAGGAGCTGAGTACCGCTCTCTCTGTTTTCAGATTAGGAAATGGAAACTGAGGATCGTCCAGGTCTGAATCCTGGCTGTGCCACTGTCAGCTGTATCACCTTGAGTGAGATACTTAACTTCCTTATATCTCTGTTTTCTCATCTGTAAAACTGGGATCATCACAGTACCCACCTTCCTGAGCTGTGAGGATTAAATACAACAAGCCACCGTAAGCACTTAAATAACATGCGTGGCTTGAGTAGACGCTTGGATATTAGTTATTATGGCACCACCTGGCTGGAGGGCTCCCTCATCTGCATGGGTTCAGTGTGGGGTGTGCACCCATGCCTTCCTGAGGAGAGGCTCTTGAAGGGAAGCAGAGCGGTCAGGGGTGCTCACTTGCGCAAGATGATCTCAGAGGCGCCCTTGCTGTACATACGGAAGCCACCGCTGGGATTCCTGATGACGGTGCTCATTGACTTGCGCACTGAGTTGAAGGTATACACCTTGTAGAGCTTCTCCTCGGGCACTTCATTACGCACAGCCTGGTAATCCTGCTTCAGATCTGTGACAAAGCCTAGCAGGGCACACTCGGTCTTGTTTCCCACCTGCCGAGGCAGGCCTCCCTCCTTCTCTGGAGGCTAGGAGAAGAAATATACACAGCACTAGTGAGTAAGATGCCTTGACAAGGCAGAGAACTTAGGGAGGAACGAACTCATTTACAAAGCCTTCACATTACATACCTGGAGCTCATGGGGGAAATAACATTTGTGTTTTGTTTTTTTTTCTTTTCTTTTTTGGAGATGGAGTCTCGCTCTGTTGCCCAGCCTGGAGTGCAGTGGCACAATCTCGGCTCACTGCAACCTCCACCTCCCGGGTTCAAGTGATTCTCCTGCCTCAGCCTCCTGAGTAGCTGGGTCTACAGGTACCTGCCACCATGCCCAACTAATTTTTGTATTTTTAGTAGAGATGGGGTTTCACCATGTTGGTCAGGCGGCTGGTCTCAAACTCCTGACCTCAGGGGATCTGCCCACCTTGACTTCCCAAAGTGTTGGGATTACAGGCATGAGCCACCGCACCTGGCATCTTTTTTGTTTTTCTTTTTGACATAGCATCTTGCTCTGCTGCCCAGGCTTGACTGCAGTGGTGTGATCTCAGCTCACTGCAGCCTTGACCTCTTAGGCTCAAGTGATCCTCCCACCTCAGCTTCCCGAGTAGCTGGGACTACAGGTGTGCAATCATGCCTGGCTAATTTTGTTTATTTTTGTAGAGATGAGGTCTCACAATATTGCTCAGGCTGGTCTCAAACTCCTGGGCTCAAGCGATCCTCCCACTTTGGCTTCCCAAAGTGCTGGGATTGCAGACGTGAGCCACTATGCCCAGCCTGTTTTTTTTCAAGGATAGGCAGAGAGTGGTCAGTAGTAACTGTGATCCTTGTGCCATCCAGGGCTTAGGGATTTTGTAGTTTGCTCTAGTGGTAGTGCTGGTGTCTCGCCTTGTGTGGGTCTTATTCTAATACTCTGTGCTTGTTTCTAGAAAGTGAGTAATTTACTTCTGATAAGCCCAATTCTACTTTGGGATACGTTCTACTTGCCCTCCTTAGAGACATTGCCTTTACATGCTAGTTGGGAGGGTATTTCCTGGCCATAGATTCTTACAGGCCCTTGCCCTGAACCCTCCATTGACTCCCAGGTACTTTTCCATAGTCTCACCCAAACATGTTCACTCCAGAGTGAGAAATGGTGCTCACTCTCACCTGGGATGAGAATTTAGGGATGGCAATTTAGGCAGTGTAAACAATAAGCAGGTTCATTTCAGAGAAAATGGTGGTTCCAACCAACCATCCATTCTGAGTGTCTAGGCAAAGGAGATGCTTACCAGAATCTTGGAGGTATAAGCACTGTTGATAGAAATGCCATTGACAATGAGGTCCAGGACTTTGGGCAGGAAGACATCAGGGCTTGGGATTTGACGGTAATGGATGCCCCCAATATAAGCTTGTACCACAGTCATTCGGTTCATGGTCAACGTGCCCGTCTTATCAGAGCAGATGGCGGTGGCATTGCCCATGGTCTCACAAGCATCCAAGTGCCGCACCAGGTTATTGTCTTTCATCATTTTCTACAAAGGAGAAAAGACTTGAGGGGGGACTAACTGGACTCTCCTAAATATAGGTCAAAGCCATTTCCTAGCCAACATCTCTCCATATTTCATCTTCCAGTCCCACACAAAAATCCAAGATACTGGCTGGGTGCGGTGATTCATGCCTGTAATCTTAACACTTCGGGAGGCTGAGGTGGGCAGATCACCTGAGGTCAGGAGTTCAAGACCAGACTGGCCAACATGGTGAAACCCTATCTCTACAAAAGATACAAAAAGTAGCTGGGCATGGTGGTGCACACCTGTAATCCCAGCTACTTGGGAGGCTGAGGCACGAGAATCAGTTGAACCTGGGAGGCCGAGGTTGCACCATTGCACTCCAGCCTGGGTGACAGAGTGAGACTCTGTCTTAAAAAAAAAAAAAAATCCAAGATACCATTTTTGTCATTCTCTGAAGGTTCTACAGGGTCATTTCAACATTGATGCATCTGACAGAGATGGTCCTTCCATTAACACCAGGGACTTCTGCTCTTGTGAGGCACCAGCCAAAGTTTACAGATGATAGAATGGCTTATCTTTTCACTAAGGGTTACATGGTACCCTTCCCTCCCATCTCTATCCTAAAGGAAGAGATACGATTGTTCCAGTCTCACCTTCACAGAGTAGGCCAGTGAGATGGTGACAGCCAGAGGCAGCCCCTCTGGCACAGCCACCACCAGTACAGTGACGCCGATGATGAAGAACTTGACAAAGTACTGGATGTAGATGGGAGTACACTCAGGGAGCCATGGTCTGCGATTTATCACAAAGTTGTCAATCACGAAGTATAGAATCAGGATGAAAACTGTGAGAGCAGACATGAGCAGACCTGTCCAGAGAAACAAGTCACATGAACCCAGGCCTGAGGGCATTCCTAGGGCCCTAGCCAGAGATAGAATGGCATCAGTTGTAGCCTTGTTGCCAATTGTTAAAACCACCATCTCCAGGAAGACTTACTAAAATCCCCGCCCAGTCTCTGTTGCTTATACATTATAGCATAAGGAACAAACATAGGTTTCGTATTTCAAAGACACAGGTTCTATTCTCAGCACTGCACTAACTTGACTTGTGGCTTTGGACAAGTCATTGACCCTCTCTGGGCCTGTTTCCTAGATCAAATTCCTCATTCATAAATCAGGGGGTTGATCTGTTTCCTGAAACAGCATTCTATGATCCTATTCCACACCCACCCTCTCCCTACGATTCATAATGTCATGACTGTATTTGTCCATTTCCTAGTAGTTTATCAATTTTGACTTCTCCCCTACTAACCTCCGAATGCTGGACAATTCACACCTTGTTTACAGCAATGCCTCTGTGGTGCTAGTGTATCACCTGCATGGCTAACTCTTAGAACAGTGCTTCCCAACCTTTCTGTTGTCATGGCACACATGGAAGATGCCAATAACAGTAAATATTTATGTGGGCACCTACTGTGGGCCAGGCAAGCACTTCACAACAACCCTGTGAAATAGGTTACTATTATCACTCCCTTTTTAAAGATGACGAAATGAAAATACTGAGAGGTCTTTGGTATGGCCCATTGGTAGAGTGACCAAACCATCCCGAGACTACTGAACAGTTTCCAGGGATGTGGGGTTTTGCTAAAATTGAGAAAATCCCAAGCAAACTGGGACGGTTGGTGACCCTACACATTACAGTACATGAAAGAATCTGCTGAAGGTCAAAACCGACTGGCCTAGGGATTCTGATTGCCATGGGTGCTGCCTGAATGCTTTGAGGGCTGATGGAATCAGTATCTGGGGACAACTGTCCCTAACTGTGGCACAATATTTGGGAAAAGCTCTGCTTTAAATCATTGTCTGGTTTTGGTTTTTGCTTTTCCCAAGGGCCAGATGATTCAGGGGCCTCCAAGCAAGGCTAGAGATGATGATATCAATGAAAGCAAATTCTTCTGTACTTTACTTGATTAGGGCCAGGACTCAGGTGGAGAAGCAAGCCACTGAGGGTGCAAAATTAAGAAGGAACTCACTCTTCAGGTGGTGGAAGGCATCTGACTTGCCTCACCCTATTCCTGGACTGGCCTAACATATAAAATAAAGCAACAAAGGAGACTAGTGGCCAGCCATCAGGTAGCTTGTACTCTCTAAGAAGAACAAGGCAGGGGCCAGGTGCAGTGGCTCACACCTGTAATCCCAGCACTTTGGGAGGCTGAGGCCGGCAGATCACTTGAGGCCATGGGATCACTTGAGGCCAGGGGCAGATCACTCGAGGACAGGAGTTCAAGACTAGCCTGCCCAACATGGCAAAACCCTGTCTTTACTAAAAATTAGCCAGGCATGGTGGTGCATGCCTGTAATCCCAGCTACTCGGGAGACTCACTTGAACCCCTGAGGTGGAGGTTGCAGTGAGCCAAGATTGCATCACTGCATTCCAGCTTGGATGACAGAGTGAGGCTTTCTCACAAACAAACAAATAAGCAAAAACAACAATAAAAAAACAAGGTAAGGATTAGGAGAATAGTACAAGGGTTAGGTGGGGTATATTTAATGTTTCAGACCTGTGGTGTTTGATTCTGCCCCTGCAATTCATCTCATCCATGTATAGTTTATATGCAAGAGATTTCACAGCAGTTAAAATTAGCTGGGCACTAGAACGGACACAAAGAGGTTAGGCCAACTCAGTCCAGTAGATCTTTCTGTGAAACGTAAGAAGTTCTCTATCTGTGCTGTCCAATATGACAGCCACTGCTAGCACATGTCTCTCGTGACCAACTAAAATGTGCCCCAGCAACTGGATTTTTAACTTTATTTACTTGTAATTAATTTAAATTGCAGCAGTCACATGTGGTGAGCGGCTGCTATGGTGGGCAGCATGGATCCCACTATCCAGTGTGTGCAAACTGAATCAGCGGTGTTGGCATCCTGTGGGGGTTTGTTAGGAATGCAGAATCTCAGGCTCCACACCAGACCCTCTGAACTGAATCTACACCTTAACAAGACCCCCAGGTAAGTTGTACACAGCTGTATAAAGTGCAGAAATGTGCTGATTATGATTGTGGTAAACAGAAAGGTGGAATCACAGAATAAACAGTGGTAAAAGACTATTCTCTGGCAGGGCACGGTGGCTCATGCCTGTAATCCCAGCACTTTGGGAGGCCGAGGTGGGCGGATCACTTGAGGCCAGGAGTTCGAGACCAGCCTGGCCAACATGGTGAAACCCCATGTCTACTAAAAATACAAGAATTAGATGGGCGTGGTGGTGTGTACCTGTAGTCCCCACTACTTGGGTGGCTGAGGCAGGAGAATCGCTTGAACCCAGGAGGTGGAATCTGCAGTGAGTTGAGATGGTGCCACTGCACTTCCAGCCTGGGCAACAGAGAAAGACTCCATCTCAAAAAAAAAAAACCCAAAAAACAAAAAACAAAAAAACTATTCCTTGAGGGATATGTCCACTGAAGTAGCAATCTTCTGTTTCTTCTTCCCACTCCCCATTCTCCCCCTCCATTGAAAGAAAGTGGTAAGACAGGAAAATGCAGAGGCAAGTGATGGAGAAGCCACTTTCTCATATGCAGAGTGCATTTAGAGAGGGCCTGTCTAACCACAGCCTTCCTTCTTCCTCCAGTCCTTACTTGGTATTTATTGCTTTGTGCTTGGCCAGATCCTACTACTATGCTAGGGAATTGCCTCTAGCAAGCTGCAGCCTTCTCTATCTTTAAGGAATTTACAACCCAAAACAAGAGACAGGTAAGTAGTTATTAAAATCTACCTTCTTGCTAATGTAAATCTCCCCTACTGTAATATATGCTCTTTACTTCTCATTCATTTGGATTAAGAGATCTCACGGCCATTAACCCTTACACACAGGAAAACATTTCTCTCTGAAAAAGCCTAGGGAGAAACCAAACAGTGGCGGAGATAGGGACACAGCTGCCTAGCCCCAAGTAGCCATTCTGAAGTTTCACCTTCTTTCTGCCAGTCTCAGTTGGTGCAGAAAGAAGGGGATAAAAGTGATGAGGATGCAGGATAACACTGATAACCACAATGAGGCTGTACCCTACTCACCAGCTTTCCCAATCTGAACAGCCAGGCGAGTCAGCTTGCCCTGCAGCACTGACTTCTCCTTTTTAGGCACCTTGACTGCCTTCTTGTCTTTTTCCTCATTGTCGATTCCCTCCTGGCTATTGAGTGGCTGGATTTCCAGGGCCACTCCGTCTTGGGTCTTTGCTAGAGTGTACACACAAATAGGACAGGTGAGCAGGCAAGGTGGTAGCACTGAGTGGCAGGCAGGTGGAAACCAAAAAACCTTCCTGTCTCTTTCCCAGAATATACCTTGGACCTGACATCAGTCCCGACCACTCGCAACCCATGCTAGACATGGAACTTGCCTTCAACACTCTATTAGGGCCTTTGGAATAATATTCTAATGACTTCAGATGAAACTGGGGTGCTTTTAGGGTATGGATTTCTTCTTCAGTGGCAGCTTCCTGGCACTACCTGAGTCCCAAGCCAGATTTATTCCAGCAAGGGGATTAATCATGTCACTAAGCGCTATTAAAACAACCATCCTTCCTGGAACTCAGTGCTTAAAATAGTGAATCTTTACTGCAGAAAGGGGCTGAAGGAGAGGGTTGGTAGATGTTTCTAGAGCACAAGATTGCTCTGTTAAATGGTTTCTCTCTCTCTCTCTCTCTCTCTCTCGATTGTCAGGGAAGAAACACATACCCCCAGACCCAGGGTATTTTCCAGCTCCTTCTAGCAGTTGAAGGATAGGAAAAGAAAATTCCCTTTCTTCCCTGCCTAACAAAGGTAGAGAGATACAGAGTGGGACCTAGGGTTAAGTCTTTTGGGGAAGAGGGAAGAAGCTGGTGTGAGGGACCTCCTGTAATAAGAGAAAGCAGGGATAAAGAGAGACATATAAATCCATTTTGCTTTTAAAAGAAGAGTTAAAGAACTAAAATTAAAGAATTATTTCTGTTTAGCTCTGGTTTTCTAATGTGATGACTTTCTTTCTAAAGACTGCTGTGATGCGGGTTACAAAGTAAAAACAAATCTCTAGGAGTGTCACAAGAGAGCAGTTCTTGCTGGCTCCCAGCACCACTCCATTTTCACCCCTGCAGGGCTCAGCCCCTTGCTTAGGATACCCTTCCTGAGTAGTCCCTGCTGTCAGACTCACAAACAAGAAGACAGAGATGGAATGTGAACACAGCCACCAAAAGAGAAACACACATCAGATCAGGAGGAAGAAAACAGACTGTGGCAAGAACAAAGAAGAGAGGTGGGGAGAGAGGTACAGAGAAAGGGCTCTCTCCAAGCACCCCTGAGAAGACCAGCAGAGAAGGGATCCAGACCAGAAGAGGACACCGATGAGGAAGCTATCAAGAGGAGGGTGCAGGGACTGCCCACCCCACCTCCCTCCGCCATGAGAACCCTGAAGTCTTCCAACCCAGGAACTGATGACTGTTGGTGTTTAAATCAGGCTGAGGGTGTTTAAATCAGGCTAAGGGCAATGAAGCAGAGTTCAGCTCCCTGGGAAGAGCAGATCAATCCTACACACTCCCCAAGAGAAACCTTGACATGACATTCTGTGAGCCAACAGCAGAGGGTGCTGTTGTCCCATCTTAGATTGGGATCAGGACCTTGAGACCACCCCAAAAATCTCTGCACCTTCCTCAGGATGAGGCATCTGAGCCACAGCAGGAGATAACAGATTTATGGAGAGGAAAAGGGAGAAGGCAGATGGCCTGGAAAGGTCTGGTTTGAGCGTGGGCAGGTAGAGATGGTAAATGAGTGGTTGGAGAGGTTACCTTTGTTGCGATTTTCAGGGACTCCTTGCTTTTTACCTGTTTGAACAAGAAAGAAAAAAGTGGGGCCGAAACCCAAAGTGACTATTAAGAGATCCAATTTGTTGGTCCTGCTCAGAGCCCAGAAGGGCGACAGTTAAGTGGTCGGGTTGCAGGGAAGGGACATAAATGTAAAGGAAGCTCACATCTCTGCTTTCATTCATTCTTGCTAGAGGCTCTCATGAATCCTCGGGATAGCCACCAAAACGCTCACATAGGTGAGTGCATACTCACACCTGAGGTGCTTTCTCTTGCTCCTGGCCTGAGTCACATTGCTTGGAAAAATAGGGTGGGGATTAGGAAGTGAGAGGTTTGAACTGTTTCTGCCTGATGGCAAAGACTCTGAAAGGTGTCTCCGTGTTACTTCAATAGCACCAGGCAAGCTTCCTCCTTATTCATCTGCAGGCAGCTGCAGAAATGAATTGTTTAGTTCCTGAGGGAATGTGTTTTGTTTCCTTTTCATAAACTGTCCTCCACTAAACAGCTCAAGATGATTCTCCAGCCATGTGGTAGAAACCTTCTCTCCCCTAAGGGAAGAAGGAATGCTTAGGGAAACGGGTAGACTTGGTTTTAGTATCTTTTCCTCTTTCTCCCTCTTATTCTTTCCTTCAGGAATAACTAAGGGGCAAAGACTGAACTAACTGTTCCTACTCTTCTAGCTGTGTGTCTCTTCCACTGAGAGCCCACAGTTTCGGCAGAAATCTATTTTATTCTTCTGGCCAATTTTCTCTTAGTCTTGATGGTTCGTTTAACCCCCCATCTTTGAGGAAGAAAGTTGGGGGAGGAGGAGTACATGGAAGGCATTTGGGGCTACGGCATCTAACCAGTTTATTTAGGGCAGGCTTTATAACTTACCCCTTTACAAGCCACCAATAGACACAAAAATCAAGGCTCAAATTCAACCTGATTTGGGAGCCTAGAGCTAGGATCTGGTTTTCATCAGAGCCCCCTGGAGCCAAGGATTTACATCTTTATCTCAGCAAGGAGTTTGGATATCTGCTTTCTTCATCGCAGCAGATTCTTCTAACCATGCTTTCTATCCGGATCTGCTCCCTCGCTTCCTTGTTTGTCCATGGGGATGAGAGGAAAGAGAATCTCAGTCCAGATGCTCCTTACCTTTCTTCTTCTTCTCCCCTTCGTCATCCTCATTGACCCCCAAGAGAGTAAGGATGATTCCAGTCTGAGAGTTGACACCAACAGCCGTCACCACCATCCGGCCAGAACCTTCCATGACATGGGTCCCTACATGGGAAAGGAGAAGATGGGAAGGAATGTTTTTTTTTAATACCTAGACATGATTTGATATGAAACACAAATTTAGAAGAAAAAAATAGTCCTCCCTACCCCATGGATAATGATGGGTTTAGCACAGTAGGAAAAGGTCAAGAGCTGGGCACATTTAAAACAGACCAGACAAACTGGGAGTAAGGAGGAAAATGTGTCTGACTGCTTTAGGGTAAGCCCTCCCTCCTGCCTCCACTCCCACCCCTGCAACCAGCAGAGCCCCTTCAAGGGCCTTATTACACTTGTTTCACGGAAAACTTCATTTAGGCTGCCTGATATCCTTGTATTCCACCCACCAAAATGCTGCTGCCCCAGTTGAATCCCAGGGAAGGAGATGGGACACAGTCAGAAGAGAGAACAGGGTCTGGATCCTGTGGCCTGGGTGTTTGCAGGGAGGTAAATGGGAACTTGGGTAGCCAGGGTCTATACCTGAGAGCAACATGGGGTCTTTGTCCAGGGACTTCTTGACATGATCGGATTCCCCTGTCAGAGAGCTCTCATCAATCTTCAGATCATTCCCTTGGATCAGGATCCCATCTGCAGGCAGCAGATCACCTAGAGCACAAAGGGGAAGAAGGGACAGTGAAGGAGATAGTAAGAGACTGGCTGAGGGTAGGGACCTCCAACTCCTTCAACCCCATCTCACGGCTGCTCCCGTGGGCCCTGGTCGTGAGTACATGGAGGGTCTTTACAAGACTTCAGCTCTGTACAACCTGGGAGAAGGTTGCTTTCCAGGCATTATACATTCAAACTCTTATTCATCCCCACACCTTTCCACGGCCTGAATATTACACACTTTTAACCCTAAGACACACAGAGTACAAGTCTGACAATCTCGTGGCAGAGCTTCAGCTACTCCTTTCTGAAATTCCTTCCCACAACCTCTTTAAACGCTAACCTAGAAGTGAATACAGTTTTGGATCTTATCTTTTTGGGTTTTCAGCAATTCCCAGCCCCCTCATACCAAAGCACCTATCCCTTAAATGGGGGTGGTAGTGGGGTAAGCAAAAGAGACACGGAGCTCTCACCGTATTTGACTTGGGCAATATCACCGACCACAATCTCAGCCACAGGGAGCTGGATGAGTTGACCATTTCGGATGATGGAGAACTTTTGCTCCTGTTCAATGCGGTTCTGCAGCCCCCGGAATTGCTTCTCTTTGCTCCAATCATTAAAGGCAGTCACTAACACCACGATGATCACTGAGAAAAGGATGGCTGCCCCCTCAATCCAGCCAGCTTGTGCCTCACTTTCATCTTCTGGGGTACTTGCAACTTGACCACACACTATCCCAGGAAGGGAGAGAAATAGTCACTGAAGGGCTTTTGTTGACAATAAGAAATGGGAGTGGTGCTTCCACAATCCCAAGATAGAAAGTCAGGAAAAGTGAATAATAGCAAACACAACTGTTGGCTGGAAGAGGATATCAGAGGATAGTAGGATTGAGTATTATCTTATCACGAGTGTAACTATTTATGTTAATCCAAAAGAGGTAAATGACTAAATAGTACAAACTATCAAATTTAGGCAAGTCACATGTAAGGTCACACTTATGGTTCCCAACATGGTCAGGCTTTTGCTACTGTTTCCCATAATGTGAGACAATTGGTGGCGGGGGGCACTTTGAGATGCAGGGTTTTGTTGGTTGGATAACGGTAGAGAATTCCTGGCTGGGGATGTTGGTTCACACCTGTAATCCCAGCACTCTGGGAGGCCAAGGCAGGCAGATCGCTTGACCCCAGAGGTTTGAGACCAACCTGGGCAACAAGGTGAGACCTTGTCTCTATGTTATAAAAATTATTAAATAGGCCGGGCAAGTGGGTCACACCTGTAGTCCCAGCACTTGAGGAGGCCGAGGCAGGTGGATCACCTGAGGTCAGGAGTTTGATACCAGTCTGGCCAACATGGTAAGGCCCTGTCTCTACTAAAAATACAAAAATTTGCCAGGCGTGATGGCACACACCTGTAATCCCAGCTATTCAGGAGGCTGAGGCATGAGAATCGCTTGAACCCAGGAGTTTGCAGTGAGCCCAGATCAAGCTGCTGCACTCAGTCTGGGTGACAGAGCAAGAATCCATTAAAAAAATAATAAATAAATAAATAAATAAATAAATAAATTAAATGTCTTAAAAGGGTAGAGGATTCCTGACATTCTGAAAAAAGATTTAATGGAAGAAAGAGGGTGGGGGTGGGGTGGGGAGGAACCCTTGGAATAAGGATGAGTTGGAAGAATAGCTTAGTACTACTGCTGGTTTCCTTTGGAAAGCCCACTCTGGATAATGGGGGGAATGTTTTAAGCTATAACCTGTCAGCCACCAATACTAAGTGCTTTTTGGTGGTGGTGGAAAGCACCCAGATAAGAGTCACGCTGAGTTGTTTAGGACACTCACGTTCATTTTCTTCACCAGCAGGGCGATAAAAGGACAGGACCAGGGAGATGATGGCTGCAATCTCCAGGATGATGAGTGTGACATCTTGAAGGGCTTCCCACACTAATTCTAAGAAGGTTTTGGGCTTTTTGGGGGGGATCACGTTGTGTCCGAACACCTGCCTACGTTTCTCCAGATCTGCAGGGTTCCCAGATAGACCTGAAAAGGAGATAGGAGTGGATGAATGAATGCAAAAAAAAAAAAAAAAGAAAATGATAAAAGGCAGTTTTGAAGTGGCGATGAGTCATGATCACGCCATTACACTTTAGCCTGGGCAACAGAGAGAGACACTGTCTCAAAAATAAATAAAATAAAGAGCCAGGCATGGTGGCTCACGCCTGTAATGCCAGCACTTTGGGAGGCCAAGATGGGTGGATTGCTTACATTTAGGAGTTCAAGTCCAGCCTGGGCAACTTTGTGAAACCCTGTCTCCACAATAAAGACAAATATTAGCCAGGCATGGTGTGGTGCACCTGTAGTCACAGCTACTCAGGAGGCCGAGGCGGGAGGACTGTTCTGACCTCAGGAGTTTGAGGCTGCAGTGAGCAGCAGTGATCATGTCACTGCACTCCAGCCTGGGCAACAAAGTGAGACCTTGTCTCTAAAATAAAATAAATAAAAAAGATCCCCTGCTTCCTGATTTGCTCAAGTATGAGATCCAGTTAGAGACAACCATCCTAATCTACCCAGGACTCAGAGAGGGTGGAACTTTCAGGCTAAAAATGGGCAAAATGAAACTGGTCAGCCACGGGACCACTCACTTATCTTAGTGACAAGTATAATCTGGATAAATTCCTAACCAGACATAACATCTTATCTGCTACTGATTGAGTATGCCCCAGGGTCCAGCTCTGAGAATATAAATATTAAAGTGGTTCTTGGGATTCACATAGAACTTTTATGTCATATGAACAGGTAAATGCTGTGGTGATTTAAATGCAGAGTGAGCTGCCATCCATTGGCTCATACACAAAGGCCAGGAAGAAGAAGCTCCTTGCTCAAGGTCATGCAGGATGGAGGCAGAGCCCACACACGTGTCCTGATTCTAAGATCCAGGAGCTTTAGGGGAGCATCAGAGCAGAGTCTTTGAGACTATAACTTGCGGGCATTCCCTTTAAGCACATGTGCCCCTCCATTTCTGTCACACACATATACACACCTGTGTGCCTATGTGTGTGCATGCACACACACTCACAGAGGCACAAACACACACCACTGAGAGGTACTACCATTCTACTAAAGACTAAGTAGGTACTAAGGGAAGTACTACTACTCAGATTGAATAAAAAGCGAACAAGAAAGGTGAGGCCACAAAGTTTTCAGATATTACACAGTACTTGATCACCAGCATCCTCCCCACCAACGTATGTTTGCTTACATACCTCTGTGTACACACACCACATACCACACATACCATACAGACACATATACACCACAAACCACATACACCACTCACATCACACACCATATGCACAATATACAGACACATACACACCAAACACAAACCACATACACAGTACATACCACACAGATATACGACACACACACACACACAGACCACGTACCACATACATACCATACCTACTCTCTAGACACCTTCTCAGAAGGACAAGAGATAGGCAGAATTATTCTCAGTGCTTTCCTTATAGTTGGGTCCTTTCACAGGTCCCCAGGTAGGGCTACTCTTGAAGGGAAGAGGGGAAATCCTACCGTGGCGATTAATGCCAGTTGGTATTCAAGTTGTTTACATGCTGAAGCAAAGTATTACTGGTTTTGACACTGGAAGTTGTTGGCTGCTGGTTTGAAGGGTTTCCCACAGGCAGGGTGGGGTGGCTTTTGTGTTGAAAAAAGGTTAGCAGCTGAGGAGGGTCAGAATTAGAGGAAGGGAACTTCAACTGAGCTTCACAGAGAGAACAAGACGAAGTGGATGACGGGGGCTGCAGGGACAAAACAGGCAAAGGACTTGGATGCCAGAGGCCTTTCTCACACTTTAGTCAATGGGAAGGGCTATTCTGTTGCTGAGGAAGGAATGCAGATGTGATATAAGGGCAAATGTCTACTCTTCACTGAAAATCTTCACTGAATAGAACCCAAGAGTGGGCCAGGCATGGTGGCTCATGTCTGTAATCCTCAGCACTCTGGGAGGCCGAGATGGGCATATCACTTGAGATCAGGAGTTTGAAACCAGCCTGGCCAACATGGTGAAACCTCGTCTCTATTAAAAATACAAAAAAATTAGCCGGGCATGGTGGCGCATGTCTGTAATCCCAACTACTAGGGAGGCTGAGGCAGGAGAATTGTTTAAATCTGGGAGGCAGAGGTTGCAGTGAGCCGAGATCACGCAACTGCATTCCAGCCTGGGCGAGAGAGAGACTCTGTCTCAAAAAACAAACAAACAACAACAACAAAAAAAAAAACCAAACAAACCCAGGAGTGTTACCTTAAGTGTCAAGAGGAGAGATTTGCGTTAGGACCTGAGGAAGACATCTGAACAGATAAAGATTTTGAAAATGGGAAAATAGGTACCCAAGGGAGTATTATTTGCAGAGCTTGGGATGGCCTCCATTTCCCTATGCTATAAAACAAAAAGCATCAGGAGACATACTCAAGATACTCATCTGTCTGGGAAGGTACATGTGGGGGGTGGAAGATGAAAGTGAGGGGCAGGGGATGAACTGGCATCCACACCTGCGCAGTCAGGGGTGTGAGGGCCCTCTTTTGAGACATTCACTTGCTAGTGCTTAGGAGAGAGACACAGGAGCTGGTTAGGGAAGTGGTGCCTGATGTCTTACCCAGGGTCTCCTGATTCCCAGTGCCCAAGCACATCACCCTGGCCTCCAGCTCAGTAGCACAGCTGAGCCCCACAGAGCCATGAGGTTTGGCCAAACCTCCAGAAGCAAACTGAGTTGCTCCCCAGAGGCTCCCTGCCCCCACCAGCCTGAGAAGTCAGGTTCCTAGTAGGAGGGACAGCCAGGGCCTGGGAAAGGAGTGTTCTGGGTAGGGCATCTTTAGCCCCAGACAGGCAGAGGCAGACTTGCCAGGGGGCAGGGCCTTGCTGGTCCTTTCTCCCCAGGGACCAGAGATGGCAAGGCTGTGCCAAGTTGGACCTGCTGTGCTGGAAAGCCAGGCTTGCTGAAGGGAAGCAGGAGTGCTGGTAATTTGTTAACCTACCTGGGATGCTTCTCAAAGAAGCAGGATTCACAATGTAAAGGGAGGAGATGCCCTTTCCTCCTTACCATGGTTTAGTAGATGATTATGAGGGCAAACCAAGATACCAGATATTAAAGATCATAAGGCGCACCCCAACAGCCTAATGAAACCCTCCCTCCCAAAAAGAGGGACATACGAGGGGTGGAGAACAGGGTTACCGTCCCTCTCTGCTCTCATGCTAATACCCCGTAATCATCCATGATGCCCAGCCCCCCATCTCCTATATCACGTAGTCGAGAAATCCTACCAGCTTCAAAATATATCTAGTCCAATCACTTTCCATTTTCACTGTTATCATCCTGGTCTAAACCATCCTCTCTCATCTGGATTATAGCAATCGTCTTCCAACCGGTCTCCTTGCCTCCACCCTCGCTCTCCTGTTCTCAGTCTCTTCTCAATGTATCAGCCAGAATGATCTTTTTTAAGACCTAAGGCAGTACGTGCGATTCATCTGCTCAAAACCCTCTGGCTTTTACTTAGAGTAAAACTAGGCACCAAGGACTTGATGGGCTTCCAGGCCCCTTATGACTCCCCCCTCGTCCCCCAGTCCTTATCTCCTACTAGTTTCTCCATGTTCACTGAGATCTGGCCCAGCCAGACTGCCTACTGTTCTCTGAACGCACTAGACATGCGTCTACATCAGGGCCTCTGCACAAGCTGTTCCTTCTGCCCAGATTCCTCTTCGCTGGAGGGCTCACTTCCTCACTTCCTTCAGGTCTTTGTACAAATGTCTTCTTTTTAGTGAGGCCTACCCTGACCACTGTATTTACCCGGCACTCTTGATCCCCCTCATCCTGCTCACTCATTTCCCTCCACAGGTCTTCTTACCTAGCATATAATAGGATGCATTCATTTATTGTTTGTTCACCTCCTCCACAAGGGCAGGATTTTTGTCATCGTTCCTCAGGCCTACAGCATTGCCCGGCACATCGTACACATGCAAATTTGTAGAATGAACTGAGTGATAACTAAGATTGCTAACATTTAAGTGATTACTATGTGCCAGATGCCTCACCAAGCACATTCATGCCTTCTCATTCAAGCATCACAAACCCTTACATGGTAGCTACTATTAACCCGATTTGATGTAGAAGCAAACTAAGGCCTGGCAGGGGTGTAACTACTTGAGCTTAGTAAGTGGCAGAGTCTATGCCACCCCACAGCGGGCCACTGGATGCCAACCTAGACACAGAGGACACTGGGGCATGGAGGCAGCTGCACTCAGCTGAGGCTTCAATCTAGTGTGACTAACTTGTTCCGATTTGCCCAGGACTTGCCAGGTTTTAGCACTGAAGTTCCTGCCTCCTGGGAACCCCGCTCAGTCCCAGGCAATCAGCGAGGGTTGGCCACCCTACTTCCTTCACCACAGGGCAGGGTTGCATGCTGCTTTCCTCTGTACCTCTAAGCAAGCCAGCACTGTTCCCGTTGTCTACAATTGGGGTGGATTAGTCCTGTCTTCTTCCTTCCTGGCCTCAGGGATGGTAACATCGCCATCAGGTTCATCAGAGTCCAAACCTATGAATTTTGTACTCAATAAAACGTTTCTTATGGCCTTTTTTGGACCCAAGCAAATGAAATGACCTAACTGCCCTCAAAGTCACTTGCTTGCTTCTTTTTTCACCATTTTCTACTCATCTGTGTGTTCCACCTTAAGTCACCCCGAGCTCGTACAATAGCAACCTTAAGAAGTCAAATGGCTGTCTCAGTTCCCAGTATGCCCTGCAGCAGGGCGGGGCAGGTCAAGGATCTCAGCTGTAGTAGCCTTGGGAATCCTCTCTGACATGTGGTAAGGCATGGGAAAGCCATGTGGGACTGGGAGATCGGCCAATCCCCAGTTTTGGGTTTTCCATTCCAATTCTTTCTGCCCTAGAGAGTCTTTCAGGCCCTGATCTCAGCAGCTGTAATTTCACACAAATAGTTGTCCAGCCCGGGAAAAGGCTCTAAAAGGC